ATGTTTGCGTTTCAGGTTCCCTAGTCCTACAGCCTGATTAGGCTCCCTGTGGAGTGCCTGTGGAGATCCAGGGATATGAATATGGGAAGTATAAGGGCTGGTGCAACCAAGCTAGCCTGTAAGAAAAGCTGAGGTCAAGTCTGCTCTGGGCAGTCTCTTTATGGGTCTTGGGCACCTGCCTCCACGTGCGGATCCCATCCCTGCATCTTTGGGAGCTGGACCCCTTCCATAGGGATGCAAGAAGCCCTGGGTGGCACTCGGAGGAAGTTATACTCAACCAGATGTACTTCCAGACAGACCTCTCCCCCATGTGTGCCGAGGGAGTTTCGTTACCTGATATCGGTTTGTTTTGCCTTACTCCCTGCAGCATGCCAGGAAGTCCCGGGGCAGGCACGCTCATATGGAGGCACCTTTGATCCCACGGTGTCCAGCATTTGCGTGCAGCTGAGCTACCTATCAGCATGCTTGACTGGTGTCCAGCCCCATGCAGGTCTGGGGAGCAAGCAGCGATGGTTGGGGGAACCTGTTTGGCATCAGTTGTCTCAGATTTCTGATTTTGCAGTAACAAGTTTGTGCGGTGCTGAGAATGGGGTTTTGTGTGTTTATCATAGTGGTCTTCAGAATAGGGTGCTAAAACTTGCTATAGTATTTACTGTTTTATAGCTGTATATTAATGGAAAGTCCTAATGTTCCTGTCAGAAAACAAATTGTTTTCACCCCACCTAAAGTGCAAAGTAAGAGAGGAACTGCATTGTCTGGCTTTGCCTCGCATGCAGACTGCTTTCTTTTGATACAATTTCCTTGGGAGTCAAAAAAACTCATCAGGACTATTTTGGCAGAAATGAGGTCTTTTCTCTTGTTGAGTCATGCTGATGCAACTGTTCTAAAACCCCCAAACTTTCCATATTATTAGAATAAGCTTTGGTGTCTTAGCCTGTGAACTGCCCTGCTAGCTGCTCCTCTGTTAAGGCAGAAAATTAGCATTATGTTATTCTGGTCGAATACTTCCAGAAAGGATATGATAAAACCCTCCTCCCCCCGCAACCCTGCTTCCTTGGCAGAGGCAGTCCTGAAGGCTGGCTGTTGAGTAAGTGTCATGGTTTAACCCCAGCTGGCAGCTAAGCCCCACACAGCCTCTCGCTCACTCTCCCCCTGCCCCCGATGGGATGGGGAGAGAATCGGAAGCATACAAGTGAGAAAACTCGTGGGATGAGACAAAGACAGTTTAATAGGTAGAGCAAAAGCCATGCACACAAGCAAAGCAAAGCAAGGAATTCATTCACTGCTTCCCACTGCCAGGCAGGTGTGCAGCCATCTCCAGGAAAGCAGGGCTCCATCACGCGTAATGGTTACTTGGGAAGACAAACGCCATCACTCCGAACGTCCCCCCCTTCCTGCTTCTTCCCCCAGCTTTAGATGCTAAGCATGATGTTGTATGGTATGGAATAGCCCTTTGGTCAGTTGGGGTCAGCTGTCATGGCTGTGGCCCCTCCCAATTTCTTGTGCACCCCCAGGCTACTCGCTGATGGGGTGGGATGAGGAGCAGAAAAGCCTTGACTCTGTGTAAGCACTGCTCTGCAATAACAAAGGCATCCTTCTAATACCAATACTCTTTTCAGCACAAATCCAAAACATAGCCCCATACTAGCTACTGGGAGGAAAATTAACTCTACCCCAGCCCAAACCAGCACAACAAGTACCCATTCACACAGCATTGTCACGCGCTGCCACAATGGCAGGGCGAGGATAGCACAGAAGAAAAATAAAGGGAATCTGCTTCTTTGCATTCCAACTTTCCATCTGAAGATCTAACCAGGGGATTGAGCGGCTGGCAGGGTAGGCCTGAGAGGGAACACGACAAAGTTAAAATGGTTTAGTTTTCATTATAATGTTCCTTTTTGTTGTAGTTTGAAGATGAATGCCCGAAGCCCTGCAAGTCAGATTAAGGCACAGGCACCAGCAGCACATGCCAAGGCTCTGCTTTCAGGACCATGAAAGGATGCCAAGCCATTCTGCTTTCAATTACACAAGTATTATACCTCCTGCTCCAAAGACTGCAAGCACAGATTTGATTGCTTTACATCGCCATCCATTTCCAGGGTGGGGTTAGGAGAAGAGTGGCCTGGGCTCAGCCTGGCTGGCACTGCTGCGGCTGAGCTGACATGTGGACACATCCTGATTGCCACGGGTAAATATCAGGAAGCAGTTTTGCACCGCTTGCAAAGATTTAGTAAGTGTTTCTGCTCATATAGCAGGCTGGCCAACAGATTCATTAACTCTGTTCCTTTTCTACTGCTTCTGCATTTTCTTTGAGGCAGGAGTCTGGGGTAGGGTATCGCCTGGGTTGGGCCCCTTCTGCACTGCTCACTCACAGAAAAGCAAAAAACAGCTCTGTGTGTGGATGCAGACAGGAAGAAAGAGAGGGAGGAGACAGGCTGCAGGATCGTCTCATGTGGGACAGGGGAGGGGAAGTGCTTTAAAGAGCGCAACGTGCCCAGATACTGCAGGAGATCAAGAAGTCAGTACCTCTGGCTGGCAGAGGGGAGAGGGCTGCAGGGCTCTAGCAACTGGAGTCCGACCCTAAAGCGGTGTTCCCCGAGTAACACACCACAGATGCAGAAAGAGGAGGTGGTGGGGATATAGCGGTGAAACAATCCTCGTAAAGCTGATGGCAGACTGACTGAGGGCCGGTGTTGCCCCTTGGTTCGTAGTTTTTGATTAACAGGTCCATCCCTGTGGGGTTCTTCCCCACATATATATATTTCCATTTCTACATCTATTTTGGTCAATGCTTAACTAATACAGCCTCCCCCCCGCCCACACTGGTCACTGCCCTGTCTAGCAGCAGCAGTTTGGTAGTGGAGGAGGGTTGTGGCAGCAGCCTGTCCCTCTGCCAGCAGAGGCAATGCAGGGACCCGGCACGGAGCCGCGGGAGGCAGGGGTGCTGAGCAGGCTGCATCTGGGGGTCAGGGAAGAGCTGGCTGAAGGAAAAGTGTGCTGCTTGTGAAGCAAGAGAGCTTCAGAAATGATGACAACCGCTCTGTCTCAGCCCAATCTATCTGCTGGCAAAGGTTTGTGTGGTGTCTCTGCTTGGAACATCAGCAGTTACAAAAGCACAGGCTTATTGCAGATCTGTGCCCTTCTGCTGGGAAAAAGTAGTGTACTGGCATGGGTGGAGGCATGTGCTTTTTTTTTAAACGCTATAAAAGAGGAAGGATAATCACAGTGTAAACTTGGAGGATGAGAGAAAGCACCCACGAGGTGCAACTTTGTTCAGTGCTAAACATGGAGAAAAAGCAGACAAATGGTATTCTCACCTTAAAAGACAGAAGCTTTCTCCTACTTTAGACTGTGTTGTCAAGTAAGTTGTTTTGGATCCAGGCTGCAGCTCAATTTGGAAGCTTATGCTCTGGGAGGTGGGTAGCTGGTACCTTGCCTCGGGGCAGGGCGGGGAGGGGGGGTGCAGCTTGTGGAGTGCATTTCTGGCCACCTTAAGCATCCTCGGACCTTCCTGACTCTGGATAACTAGATAAATCCTGACAAACTGAATTGACCTGGAAGGAGAGAGAGAGAAAAGTTGTGCTGCTTGTAGACTTTTTCCCTACTGATGAGAGTGGGCTAAGGCTGGATGTTAGGAAAAAGTTGGTACTTCTGAAAAAATAGCTGAAGCCAACCTCAAGTCTCCTCAAATGTGTGGTGGTAAGGCTGTAGCAGATAGCAAAGCCTGCCCATTTCACACTCAGTAAAGTACGTGGCCCCATATGTGATCTTTTTCTCCAAAGCTCTTCACAAATTTAACTATGTCTAACTTTATCAAGGAGTTAAATTTTGATGACAAAAATATATAGGAATGAGTTGCATCAAACTCAGAATTATCACTTTTATACATTTTGAAAACTGAAGGTCTTCCCTGTTGAAGGACAAGAATTCATTCCAGCTGAGAGGTGCTAGAGGGAAGAGGTAGCTTTGGGGAAGTTGATGACATCCCTTCACTAAAAGACCATTTCCCTTCTCTGCTGTGTCCCACAGCTGCTCTGTCTCTATTTTAAAATGTTGTTATGCTTATCATCCATCCTCTGTAGCAGGCAGAAAATACAAGAGTATCTCAGTCTTTCAATTCCTTTTTCTGGAAAGCCTCAAGTTCTCAACACAATGCTAATAATGTAATGCTAATTTCAGTGCTGTGGGACTGAAGGTCGCTATGAGGTGCACTTGGGCTTCTGCCTGGGCTTTGCCAGCCCTGAGCGCACAGGTGCTTCTGTGGGCCCTCTGACATGTGGCAGGAATCAGTCTGTCTGTCTGCTCTCAGGCAGGTACCTCTTGGCGCAAGTGGGCAGCAGATTGTGACAATTTCTGTGCACAGAAAAAAAAAGAGGAAACTGCAGTAGGAAGGTTTGGTGTTTGAGTTTAATGGGTTTCCCTCTCAGAGCTGGTAGGAAGACTCCCTACCCCTTTATGCATGCAGCATGCTTGGCCGTTTCACCAACCGTGTGTTTCCATTCAGTCAGGCCGAAACAAATACCATCAAACCTCCCCTCTCAAAATTGCTTTGGATGTTTACAGAAGGATGCTTTCTTTCAAACACTGTCATCTTTTTCAGACAGAATATCATTCCCATGCTTATGCATTTTCTGTTTGTTGATAACATATGACTGCAGTGTCCTAGGAAATGAAATGATGCTGAGTGTTTCTCTAGTACTCTTTTTGACTAAACAATTTGACTCCAACATTTATATCAATATGATGTATATACCAATCTATATATTGATAACATTTCACAGAACCTACACAACGAAATAACTTGGCTGTGCTGAGATGGTCTGTTGCTCAGTGCAGTTAACAATGCCCCAATGCAAACCAAACAATAAGTATTGAAAGCAGAGGTACAGGGAGGAGAATGCGGTTCTGCCTAGGAACTATTTCTGCACTTAATGCTGGAGGAAGTAATTGTGAAAGCATGACTTGCGCAAAAAGGCTTGCATCAGCCTTTCCAGCAATGGGCAATGACTGACCAAAGGAGAGAGATCTGCCACTGAATTGCAGATTGTGAAGAAGGGAGTGCAAACAAAATCTGTGCTCGTTTTTGTGTCCCCAGTCAGCAGCAGTGATACAAGTGGTTGAAATGTGAGTTTGAAGGGCAGTGTCATGCGTGCCAGACAACGCCAAACTCTTCAGAAGCCATGATTTCCTTGGGGGACCAGCCACTAAAGAATAGCCGTGCAAACTGGTGTGCTTCACTGGCTGAGTAGTTAGAGGGGGCTGGGAAACTGTCAACGTAAAGTTTTGTTTGAGGAGCACAGGCTGAAATATTTTCTCACTCCAGGACTGTCATCGCATCAGACCGGCCAAAGGGTTTCCAGCTTTTGTTGGACTTGCAGGTATGAGGTGACTCCTTAGATCCTGGGGTACATGGTCAGCACACGAGGAGACTGAAACACAGCATGCAGTACGCAAGGTAAGTCTTTACTCTCTGTTTATTTAGGATTTGGGGCTACTGTTCATCTGCAGTACTGGAACTGTTTACAGCAGCTTGTGCTTAAATAAGTGCCTCATTTTCTGGTGTAGCCAATGGTGAAATGTTCTTTGGCACCTGTGGCAGGAAACACAGCCCTTCTGTAAACTAAAATCAGTATTGTTCTAATGACATCCATTGTTTGTAAGGTGATGGTAACATCCAATTCCCATCTATTACTAGTGTTGATTTACAGAAAAGGGTGATAGATTTGTTTGGTTGCATATCAGCTTGTTCTGCCTTTCCAGTAAAGAATGTAAATTGCTCACACAGTGTGTAAAAGGGTGTGCCGGGAGCCTACGCAGCTCTGCTTTTTAGAAGCCCTGAGGCTGGTGAGACTCCATGTGGGGGACCCCAAAGTCTCCTCTGGGAAAGTTTGCAGTGTTGGAAGCCACAGTCCACTCAAACCAGCAAGAGGGGGGATGCATTCTGTTCAGGCTTCTGCCTGCTGGGCAGCCATACGAGGTGGACAGGCTGACACTGCAAAGGCTGTGAGCATTTAGAATCATAGAATCACAGAATTACTTATGTTGAAAAAGACCCTTAAGATCATAGAGTCCAACCATTAGCCTAACATTGCCAAGTCCACTCATAAATCATGTCCCTAAGCACCACATCTACGCGTCTTTTAAATACCTCCAGGGACAGGGACTCGAACATTTCCCTGGGCAGCCTGATCTAGTGCTTGACAACCCTTTCAGTGAAGAAATTTTTCCTAATATCCAGACTTCCTCTGGCACAACTTGAGACCACTTCCTCTGGTCCTGTTGCTTGTTACTTGTGAAAAAGAGACCAACACCCTCCTCACTGCAACCTCCATTCAGGCAGTTGTAGAGGGCGATAAGGTCTCCCCTCAGCCTCCTCTTCTCCAGGCTAAACAACCCCAGTTCCCTCAGCCACTCCTCATCAGACTTGTGCTCCAGACCCCTCACCAGCTTCCTTGCCTTTCTCTGGACACTCTGCACATCTTTCTTGTAGTGAGGGGCCCAAAACTGAATACAGTATTTGAAGTGCAGCCTCACCAGTGCCGAGTACAGGGGGACGATCTCTTCCCTACTCCTGCTGGCCACACTATTTCTGATACAAGCCATGATGCTATCGGCCTTCCTGGCCACCTGGGCACACTGCTGGCTCATATTATGGGGACAGTCTTTTTAGCAAGGCTTGCTGTGACAGGACAAGGGGTAATGGTTTTTAACTAAAGGAAGGTAGATTTGGACTGGATATAAGGAAGAAATTTACAATGAGGCTGGTGAAATGCTGGAATGGGTTGCCCAGAGAGGTAGTGGAGGCCCCATCCCTGGAAACATTCAAGGCCAAGTTGGATGGGGCTCTGAGCAACCTGATCCAGTTAAAGGTCTTCCTGCTCATTGAAGGGGGGTGTGACTAGATGATCTCTAAAGGTCCCTTCCAGCCTAAAGCATTCTATGATATTCAGCTGGCTGTTGACCAACACTCCCAGGTCCTTTTCCACCAGGCAGCTTTCCAGCCACTCTTCCCCAAGCCTGTAGCGTTGCATGGGGTTGTTGTGACCCAAATGCAGGACCCGGCACTTGGCCTTGTTGAATCTCATACAATTGACCTCAACCCCATCGATCCAGCCTGTCCAGATCCCTCTGCAGAGCCTTCCTACCATCAAGCAGATCAACACTCCTGCCCAACTTGGTGTCTTCTTCAAACTTACTGAGGGTGCACTCGATCCCCTCATCCAGATCATTGATGATCTAACCATCTTCTCCTGTTCAGGCTTGAAACATCCAGCTGTAGCTTCGTTGCTGAGAGGAGGCATAATGCGAGAGATGTAAGAGGCCAGAGTCACAGCCAAGGCGCATATGAAAAGGCAGGATGTTGAGAACAGTCCTTTTTGACTGTTGAGACATGATATGGCTGTACTCCAGAGATGAGTAACACACCGTGTTTGCAGGGCTGAGTAGATGAAGTAAGAGAGGAAGACTGACATCACAGGATAACTCTCACAAGAAAATCTGAACTTCCTAATAAAACTGCACAGGTTTTCAGATGTTTTCAGCGGCTGTTAAAAATTAAAAATCAACACTACCTTCTCTCCTTTCTGTTTCCTACAGCAAAATGTTCAACCAAACAAAACACAAATCAAGAACTACACACACCTGGGGAGTGTGGGCCATTTACATGTTCTTAGCTGTGAACCTCTCTGAAGAGCAAGTGCTGCAGCAGGCTTGTCCTTCATGCGATGCCACTCAGATTTGCAACTGCTCTTCCATGGATTTGGACTTCATTCCCACGGGGCTCACAGCCAAAATCACGGTGTTAAACTTGGCCCACAACAGGATCAAGCACATCCGATCCCAGGACCTGCAGCAGGCTGTGAACCTGAGAGCCCTGCTGCTGCAGTCCAACAAAATCAGCTCAATGGACAAGGACTCGTTTCGCTCCCTCGGGAAACTGGAGCTCTTGGACTTATCAAATAACAGCTTGACTCACTTGTCCCCTGCGTGGTTTGGGCACCTTTTTTCGCTCCAGCACCTCCACCTTCAAGGCAATTCCTACAGAGACCTGGGGGAAAGCTCCCCCTTTTCTAGCCTGAGAAACCTGAGCTCTCTCCACCTGGGCAACCCGCAGTTCTCCACGATAAGGCAAGGGAACTTTGAGGGCATTGAGCTTCTCGACAAGTTGTGGATTGATGGTGGCAATCTCATTCAGTACGAGCCGGGAAGTTTGAAACTGATTAAGAAGGTAAACCACATGATCATAAACATAAGAAATACTAGTGTATTCTCTACAATTGTCAGGGACCTTCTCCACTCCGTTGTTTGGTTAGAAGTGAGAGAGATCAAAGTAGAGATTGAAAATAAAAGCTTGGTAGAAAACTCTACACTTCCTTTTAGGATGCAAAAGCTTACATTTAAAGATGCTTCATTCACAGATCAATATGTTAGCCGATTACTAGTATTACTGAAGGAAATCACAACTCTACAAGAGTTAGAGGTGATTGATTGTGTGCTTGAGGGGAAAGGAGACTGGAATTCTAAAGAAATTCAAAGTGGTGGGCAAAGTTTTGTTGAAAGAATATCAGTAATAAATATAACAATTCAGACCTTTTATTTGTTTATGGACTTGGAAGGTATAGAGTCACAAATAAACAAACTGAAATCACTCACCATTGCAAGCGCTAAAGTTTTCATGGTACCATGCAAACTTGCAAAACATTTTTCATCACTTCAGTATCTGGACTTTCATGATAATTTGCTTGTAAACAATCGCTTAAATGAGACAATCTGTAAAGATGCTTGGCCTTCATTGCAAACTTTAAATCTAAATCAAAACTCTCTAAAATCTCTGAAACAAACTGCAGATTCTGTAGCTCGTCTACCCAAACTGATTCATCTTGACATTAGCCAAAATAATTTTGGTGCTATTCCAGATGTGTGTGAATGGCCAAAAACCCTGAAATATTTAAACCTTTCCAGCACTCAGATTCCTAAACTAACAACTTGCATTCCCCTGACGCTGGAAGTTTTGGACGTCAGCTCTAACAACCTGAAGGAGTTTGGACTGCAGCTCCCATTTCTCAGAGAGCTGTACCTTGCAAAAAACCAGCTGAAGACCTTGCCTGGTGCCGCACCCATTCCTAACCTCGTGGCCATGTCAGTCAGAAGAAACAAGCTCAACAGTTTCTCCAGGGAAGAGTTTGAGTCCTTCAAGAAGATGGAGCTGCTGGATGCCAGCGACAACAACTACATCTGGGTCCTCCCCGTCCTCGTGGCCGTCGGCTACAAGTACCACGCGGTCTGGTACATGAGAATGACGTGGGCATGGCTGCAAGCCAAGCGGAAGCCCAAGCGAGCCCCCGCAAAGGACATCTGCTATGACGCCTTTGTCTCCTACAGCGAGAACGATTCTGACTGGGTGGAAAACATAATGGTGCGGGAGCTGGAGCAGGCCTGCCCCCCCTTTCGGCTCTGCCTCCATAAGCGGGACTTTGTGCCCGGGAAGTGGATCGTGGACAACATCATTGACTCCATGGAGAAGAGCCACAAAACACTCTTTGTGCTGTCCGAGCACTTTGTGCGGAGCGAGTGGTGCAAATACGAGCTGGACTTCTCGCACTTCCGCCTCTTTGACGAGAACAACGATGCGGCGATTCTCATCCTCCTGGAGCCCATCCAGAGCAAAGCGATTCCCAAGAGGTTCTGCAAGCTGCGGAAGATCATGAACACAAAGACCTACCTGGAGTGGCCTCTTGAAGAAGAGCAGCAGGAGATGTTTTGGGAAAACTTGAAAGGAGCCTTGAAGTCATAGAAGTCAGCAGCCCCCATTTCAGCATATTTCCACAAATCGTATATGTCTGTTTTTCCTGCTAAGAGTTGGGGGTTTTTTGTTGTTATTTTTCTGCCTAAAGACAACTGGCTTTGTTTTGTGTAGAAATAATTATCATCTTATTAAATGAGAAAGTCTCACTTTACGCTTTCCAGTGATTTTATACTCTCATCTTCCAAATCTCTGCCAGTGACTATGATATCTGGAAGCCATGTTGGACTTTATATACTTTTCTAAATACATTTAGCTTGAATGTAGGGTATTTCTGTACTTTTTCCTCCTGTTACCCCATCCCCAACTAGTTCCTAACAACGCCGTTGTAATTTAGAACTGAAAATAAAAGCTGAGTGCTTCAATACTCCCCCATGTCTGTTTTTCTCCTTTAGTTTATTTTCAGTGCCTTCATGCATAGCACAACAATTAAAATTAAATTCTGAAAAAAACCTGAGGACTTATATTAAAATAAGCCCTCTGAAGCCCTACTATTGCTCTGCAACGCACAAAAAAAAGACAATATTGAATATGTACTTCCATTCGCAAGTCTGTTATTCCGGCTGGTTACACCAGAGTCCATACCACCATGCACTGATTGGGATTTACTCAGTACCATCCTGGCATCTTGTACAATGACTGTGGTGAAATCCAGAATCATTCAATCACTTTTGCATTTTTTTTTTTTCTTTAGGCTTCTTTCTCCCTGTGAATGCTTGTTTCTCCCTTCATGGTCACCTCCACATTCCCTTCTACCTACCCACAAAAATAGCTGAAGCCTTCTATCTGTGGGCGCGAGGCTGTGTCCCTAATGAGCGGGCTAGATGGTGTTGCAAACTCACTTCTTGTTTTCTGCTTTTCTACTTTGCACAGCACATTTAAGTAATCATTGGGCCATTCACACCTTACGGCTCTACTTAGCTGGAGAAAATCACACTGGTAAGAGGCAATTCATCTTTCTGCTTCAGTATGGGGTAACTCCTAGCACTACTGTACTGCTCTTCACCAATTACATAGGGAATCTAGACTAGCAGGCAGATACAGATGTTTATGTTAAGATAGCCGCTCCTACCCTGGGTGCCTGGAGTCACAGTTGCTGTGGGTTTCTTGTGTTTTAGAGGTTCTTGTGGAAACCTGAAATTGTCTCTGAGGGGATTAAGTTAGGTGTGGGCTTCTCTAACTTGGCACTTCCATGCTCCCCTTTGCTTGTGTTGCTGGAGCTGAAGTACAGGGGAGTCTAAATTAATCCTGATTGAACTTTAGACATGCAATTATTTTGTGGTGAATTACCAAAGCACTGGCATATGGGCTGCTGAGTGAGCATTTGAAAAAATGGGGAAATTTGCTCATACACATGTGTCTGTGTGTTGGTACATATGTACATATTCATATATATGTATATCTGTGTACATGCTTATACATAGGTATCTATTCACACTCCTGTGTGCGTATGTATATACACCCATGGGATGATAGTTTCTGTGGGTGTAGCCTGCAAGCACTACTTTCGGTTCTACTTTCCTGTTACTGTGATACCTCTAGGGCTAGTCCAAAGCGTGCTACAAAAGGATTTTTCTGTTCGCTCTCTCGGAGAATAGCTCGCTGGCTAATCAAGGCTGAACTCCAGGTGAGTGATGAGCGAATCATCTGACAGCAAACACTGGGCATCAATAAAACAGATCAGGAGACTGCGTGCCTGGAGGTGAGGAGGGAAATACGTCTTGCTGGTCATTTCAAAGAGAAGGTCAGAGAGGTAGGAGAAGCCTTGGCTTTCACACAGTACTCTCTTACCATAGACCCAGACTTTTATGGGTTGGCACATGTAAAAGGACTGACAGTGTTACTGCTCTTGTGACTATCAGATCCCCCCAGTGGGAACTCCCCTGCTTGCATTGCCAAGGCTGAGAAGCGAAGTGGGAAGGGAACAGCAGCATGAGAGGAAGCTGGGTCAAGACCGATTAGCAAGAGAGGGATGAAACATGACATAGGTTAAGCAGCGTGCAGGCACTGGAGCTGGAGCTGGCGTCCCCAGGAATCTTTTCGAGCTGCAAAGCCAGAGCAAGAAGCAAGGAGGGAGCACTGGGAAGATGCTGTCTAACCTCTGCCACCGAGTCCTCCTCCTCTGCATCAGGGGGGATTCAGGGTGCTTCAGGCTGCAGGGCAGGGGCTGGCTCCTGCAGGAGTGAAGGGTGGGGAGGGTTTTCTGGCTGCCAGCAGAAGTGGGGCAGGTGGGTGCAGTCGCAGGCAGCTGGCCAGGCTGCATGGCAGGCGGGCAGTAAATGCAAGGCTCGCTGGGAGAGCTGGGACATGATGACAGGAGCAATGTCCTTCAGGAAAGGGGAGAGAGGAAAGCAGAAAATGAAAAAGAGACAAGTTGGGTCAGACTGTGCCATTTCTGCTCAGTTTCCTTGCAGGATGGTGCCTTGTATGTGCTTTGTCCTGTTTGTATGTTGTCCCACTTGTGTGTTGATCCCGGCTGCCCAGGGAAGGTTGGGTGTGAAGGTGGTCTGTGTTTGTTTTAGGAATTCAACCAGGAAAGAGCTCACTGAGCAATCGTCTCATGGCAGTGGGATCAGCTATCTCCTCACCTAACTGCCTTGCTGCACATCCTCTGTGTCAGAAACGAGAGGTGTGCCTATATATGCATGCATGTGTGTGTATACACGTACATACTATTAAGGCAATGCTGGTGAGTGATAGCTAGGACATAGTAACCCACACACAACCAAGTGGAAAGCAGCAGCTTTCCCCAGTCTGCTTGTGGATTGATCCCTTCACCAACCGGTGACCCTCCTGCTGCAGACTCTGTAGAACTGCTCAAAGTTACCAGCCTTCGTTTAGCTTCATAACGTTCCCCAAGCTAGAATCAATTTTCACACTATTAGCACGCTTTATTTTAGCAGTTACATTAGCCATTAGCGTTTGTTAGTATTTATGGAACCTCATTCTGCGGGCAGTCATGGGTTTGTTTAAGAATACGCATGTATTTCCTCAGGTACTTGTACTCGCCTGGGCCAGGGAAGATAATCCCGAGCATGTCTGATGGCTTGGGTCCTCTGTCCATAACCCAGAAACATTTTGAATGTCTAATTCACCACAGCGCCTTATGGTGTAAAGGCATCTTTGCAAGTTTCCATATTTTTAGCTGCATTTCTATTTCTATGATGTGGCTCTTTGTCTTCCCAGCACAACGGGGAAAAGTGATTCCCTGATAGGACAATGATATTGTGGACTGGGGTTATATTTCTGTGTGGGTGCAGATATGCCTGAAACGACCCCGTAAATCAGGGTCTTAAGCTGAATCATTAGACAGGAACGGGAAGAGAATGGCTGAAAATGATGAGGGTGAGAATGGGATTTCCCTGATTGTCTGCTCACATTACAGATGAGCAAAAAAACCTGGAAAAGATGCTCAGGGAAGTGACAATAAAGCAAAACATCCTATTCCACCAAATGGGGTTCAGTCCTGCAGTCCCTGGGTGGTTTCAGGCTGGTAAGGTGGAGAGCCATTAGGCTCAGCTGGTCTTTCCCATGCAGGACCTGCCCAGTTCCCTTCCATGCTGCCAGTTTTCCATCTGTAAATAACCTACCTATAGATAGACTTTGATCGGCCAGGTTGCATGGTTGTTTCTTTTTCTAACCGTAAGTATTTTGATGGCAACTTTAAAAATGCCAGTTAAATTTGTTGCTTGTGAAACTCATCTTACTCATAGATTTGCTCCTCTGGCCTACAGCACTGTCTTATCCAGCCAGACCTGCAAGACCAAAAAAGCCCTGTAAAAGAGCCTCAGCTGGACGGCAGGTGAGTGTAACTACAGATCGCAATTCTTTGGGTTGGATTCACATAGGCAAATATTGAGGTATCATCTAAAACATGGTGCTCCTTTTTAAGCCGATAGGGTCATTTCTCTTGGAGTCATCACATCTTAGTGTGGGTGTCCAAGAGACATGATGTGAATTGTCTCTAAAAGATGTTATTTCTCTTCATTGACTTTGGTGGACATGGTGGGTGAGCAGCTCAGCTGCGGGCATCTAAAGACAGGGGAGAGGACTGTGTCCTTCAAGACCCAAAGCTCTACATCAGAGAGAGACAGAGATTAAAGGAAAATAACATAAGAAGTCAAAATGTTTATAGTTCTTCAGGTGGGAAGAGATGGAATGTTGAAAAAATTATACACAACTTTTCCTCCTCTCCTCGTACGCCCAAACAATCTCAGCTAATTCTGCCCCTTTGAATAAATGTAAGCAACTATGGCTAAAAATAATGCAACTAGAAGGGTAGGACTTGTCTGCATGAAGTTGTCTGTGTGGGTCAGCTGTTGTAAAACAAATCAGAATATGAATTCAAAGTACAGTAGATCTGCACAGAGTCTCAGTGGGATGACTGAAGGAGAAAGTACTTCTCAGGGAACCAATCTAAGCCAATTAACCCGATACAGAGCCCACAATGATCTTTGGGAACCTGTTCATTGGCCTCTTTGGGGTTGGTTCACTCTTTTCACCCTCAGTAAGACACCTGCTGAGGTACGGGGGTGTGTGACACGCTGGGGAAAGTTATACTTTAAAAGTGCTCTTGATCCTTGTCAAGAAAGCATAAATTTAAAAAGTGTTATAATTCAATATATAATAAGGGTTTTGAAGGGAAAACAGTCCTCTCAGGCTTCAAGAATTGTTTTTCCAACCCTCGGAGGGACAGAAGAACTAAAGACACCTTGTTGGGAGTAAGGATGGGCTGGATATTGCAGCAAGCTCTGCAACACAAAAAGCCATGTCAAATCAGTACTATGAATGGCACAACCATGAGAGGGAAGAGAAGTGACACAGGAGCCACAGCTGTGTGGCTTCTCTTGAATCATTTCAGTCTAGAAGATGAGGAACAGGGTGTGGGGCTGCAAAAAGCTGGCCTAGTCCAGCCAGCTGATCTGATCTGAAGGAGGCTCCAAAAGCCCCTGGCTCTTCCTCATGCCTGGGCCTGACCTTCTCTCTGCCACAGAGACCAAAAGCACAAAATGTCACTGGCAGAGGAGAAGGATGTGGCAGTAAAAAGGAAGAACTAAGAGAACTGAATGAATATATAAAATATATAAAAGGAATATACAAAATAATATTCACAGATCCAGAAGAAAAAGACCTAAGGGCAAGTTAAGGGGAGGATGTATGAGGACTATTTTCAAAACAGGCAAAGGTCAGATTACTAATAATGTTGTGATTTTTCAGATGTTTTGCTGGATCTGCAAAAGATTTCATAGAATCATAGAATCATTTGATTGGAAAAGACCTTTAAGATCATCGAGTCCAGCTGTACCTGTCCATTACTAAACCATATCCCTAAGCACCTCCTCTACCCATATGTTAAATACCTCCAGGGATGGGGACTCGACCACTTCCCTGGGTAGCCTGTTCCAGTGCCTGATAACTCTTTCAGTGAAGAAATTTTTCCTAATATCCAATCCAAATCTCCCCTGGCGCAACTTGAGACCGTTTCCTCTCATCCCATCGCTTGTTACTTGTGAAAAAGAGACCAACACCCACCTCACTACAACCTCCTTTCAGGCAGTTGTAGAGGGCGATAAGGTCTCCCCTCAGCCTCCTCTTCTCTAGGCTAAACAACCCCAGTTCCCTCAGCTGCTCCTCATCAGACTTATGCTCCAGACCCCTCACCAGCTTCCTTGCCTTTCTCTGGACATGCTCCAGTGTCCCAATGTCCTTCTTGTACTGAGGGTCAATTTGTGCAGCTGTTAACTGATTTGATAGTCCTTGTTCCAAAATCAGAAACCACAGGGAAAAAAGGAGTAAATTTAATGTACAATGCACGTAGCATTTAAGAAATGCTTCTGGAATATTTTTCTAAAATATGCCTTTTTTTTGACTAATCTGTTTAATCTCTGCACAGCATTAAAAACAAATCTATTTCCAGTGCCTTCAATAGGACAGAACAGTAAAGAGATATATATGTACACACAGATAAGATATAAAAATATATTTAAAAATATTTAAATATATGCAAAATATATCTTCTTCAACACTATCTATTCATATTATATTTGCTCTGGTTGCATTTCATATTTTAGGCAAAATAATGACTACATACAACTGGCAAGTGTGGGCCATTTACATGTTCTTAGCTGTGAACCTCTCTGAAGAGCAAGTGCTGCAGCAGGCTTGTCCTTCATGCGATGCCACTCAGATTTGCAACTGCTCTTCCATGGATTTGGACTTCATTCCCACGGGGCTCACAGCCAAAATCACGGTGTTAAACTTGGCCCACAACAGGATCAAGCACATCCGATCCCAGGACCTGCAGCAGGCTGTGAACCTGAGAGCCCTGCTGCTGCAGTCCAACAAAATCAGCTCAATGGACAAGGACTCGTTTCGCTCCCTCGGGAAACTGGAGCTCTTGGACTTATCAAATAACAGCTTGACTCACTTGTCCCCTGCGTGGTTTGGGCACCTTTTTTCGCTCCAGCACCTCCACCTTCAAGGCAATTCCTACAGAGACCTGGGGGAAAGCTCCCCCTTTTCTAGCCTGAGAAACCTGAGCTCTCTCCACCTGGGCAACCCGCAGTTCTCCACGATAAGGCAAGGGAACTTTGAGGGCATTGAGCTTCTCGACAAGTTGTGGATTGATGGTGGCAATCTCATTCAGTACGAGCCGGGAAGTTTGAAACTGATTAAGAAGGTAAACCACATGATCATAAACATAAGAAATACTAGTGTATTCTCTACAATTGTCAGGGACCTTCTCCACTCCGTTGTTTGGTTAGAAGTGAGAGAAATAGAGTTCAGAGTACCTGCTGAAATGCAGCTATTGAGACCCATGTCGTCTTCTTTTGCAAATAAAGTTTCCTTTAAACAGACCTTATTAACAGATGCTACTGTGCCTGAGATTGTCAGCATTTTAGAAGACATGCCTAAATTAGTGGAGGTGGAGATGACAGCCTGTAGACTCTTGGGAACTGGACAATGGAAAACACAAATGCAAGCAAACCAATCACAGACTCTTAGAGTTCTGACAATAGAGAAATTATCTATAGAAAAATTTTATTTGTTTACAGATCTTCAGTCTGTGGAGGGTCTACTATCTCTTCTTACCAAAGTCACAGTTGAAAACACCAAGGTCTTTTTGGTACCATGCAGCCTTTCACGACATCTTCTGTCATTAGAATATCTTGACCTTAGTGCGAATTTGCTCGGAGACCAGAGTTTGGAACATTCGGCCTGTCAGGGTGGTTGGCCCTCACTACAAATTCTAAATTTAAGTCAGAATTCACTGAGTGACTTTGAAATGACGGCTAAAAGTTTGTCTCACCTAAGAAACCTAATTCTCTTAGACATTAGCCAAAATAATTTTGGTGCTATTCCAGATGCATGTGAATGGCCAAAAACCCTGAAATATTTAAACCTTTCCAGCACTCAGATTCCTAAACTAACAACTTGCATTCCCCTGACGCTGGAAGTTTTGGACGTCAGCTCTAACAACCTGAAGGAGTTTGGACTGCAGCTCCCATTTCTCAGAGAGCTGTACCTTGCAAAAAACCAGCTGAAGACCTTGCCTGGTGCCGCACCCATTCCTAACCTCGTGGCCATGTCAGTCAGAAGAAACAAGCTCAACAGTTTCTCCAGGGAAGAGTTTGAGTCCTTCAAGAAGATGGAGCTGCTGGATGCCAGCGACAACAACTACATCTGCTCCTGTGAATTCCTCTCCTTCGTCCACCACCAGGCTGGGTCCTCCCCGTCCTCGTGGCCGTCGGCTACAAGTACCACGCGGTCTGGTACATGAGAATGACGTGGGCATGGCTGCAAGCCAAGCGGAAGCCCAAGCGAGCCCCCGCAAAGGACATCTGCTATGACGCCTTTGTCTCCTACAGCGAGAACGATTCTGACTGGGTGGAAAACATAATGGTGCGGGAGCTGGAGCAGGCCTGCCCCCCCTTTCGGCTCTGCCTCCATAAGCGGGACTTTGTGCCCGGGAAGTGGATCGTGGACAACATCATTGACTCCATGGAGAAGAGCCACAAAACGCTCTTTGTGCTGTCCGAGCACTTTGTGCGGAGCGAGTGGTGCAAATACGAGCTGGACTTCTCGCACTTCCGCCTCTTTGACGAGAACAACGATGCGGCGATTCTCATCCTCCTGGAGCCCATCCAGAGCAAAGCGATTCCCAAGAGGTTCTGCAAGCTGCGGAAGATCATGAACACAAAGACCTACCTGGAGTGGCCTCTTGAAGAAGAGCAGCAGGAGATGTTTTGGTTTAATTTGAAAATAGCTCTAAAATCCTAGCTAGGGAGATTAAAGAATTAATATGTAGCAAACGATTTGTTTCCCTTGCCTGTTTGACCCATCACTTTTCTGTATGTTGAGAACAGAGAGCTGAGCTACTGTGAATTCTATTACTTACTGTGAGATTATTTTCTTTTTGTATCCCTGGTTGTGAATTGTTGTACTGGTTTGGGCTGGAATAGAGTTTATTTTCTTCATAGTTGCTCCTATGGTGCTGTGGTTTGGATTTGTGACCAAAAGAGTGTTGATAACAGAGGCATGGGTTAGCTGTTGCTGAACAGTGCTTGCACAGCATCAAGGCCTTTTCTGTTTCTCGCGCTGTCCTGCCAAGTGAGCAGGGGGTGCATGGTAATTTGGGAGGGGACACAGCTGGGACAGCAGATCCCAGCTGACCAAAGGGATGTCCCATACCATATGATGTCATGCTCAGCCATGAAAGTTATGGGAAAGAAAGAGGAAGGGAGGACATTTGGAGATGGTGTTTATCTTCTCAAGTAACTTATGCGTGATGGAGCCCTGATTTGATGGAAATGGCTAAACATCTGCCTGCTGACAGGAAGGAGTGAATGCATTCCTTATTTTGCTTTGCTTGCGTGCAGCTTTTGTTTACCTATTGAACTGTCTTATCTCAACCCTCTCACTTTTATCCTTCCGATGCTCTGCCCCGTCGCACTGCGGGGGGAGCGAGCGAGCGGGTGGGTGGTGCTGAGTTGCCTTCCAGGGCTAAACCACAACAATTGTCTACACACGTTAATCAGCAGTGTTAGCAAAAGCTGTTTCATTTAAATATTTAATGATGAAAAGTTGTTTAGATATACAGCTATGTAGTTTGTATAACCTTACCTTTGCAAAAGCTTTAGGGGAGAGCCTGCCTAGCCAAGGGTTTTTCTGCATGCTTTGAATAAATCACTTCTAATCAAATGCAATAAAGGTCAGTTTATGCAGCAAGGATTTTTGTCCTTGCTCTCCTAGTTAGTGGATCTAAGGACTGATTCTCAGCAGTATTTCACAATCACTGTAGGTTAAATGTCCAGATCTCCTGAGGGTTGCGTTGCAAGGCTTAATGTAAAAATGCACTTTCATGCTGCAGTTCTGGCTGTTGTAGCACGTATAGTCTATGGCAGGCAACTTTCTCGGTGAAAGACACCTATGGAGGATGATTTCCGCCTAGTTTCATTGTACCATATGTGGGAATAGATGCTTCAGAGTAGGATCCAAATACTCTTCTGACTTGCTCAAATGGAGTTTAAGCTGTTCTCAGTTAGAATGTGGGAAATACTAATGTGTATGTAGTCTTTGAATTCAACACCATACTCCTCTCTCTGATCAGGAGCCTTAGCACAGGCATAGAAAAGGTGTTTCCTACTTTTCTGCTCCCTCTGTAAATGTAGTCCACAAAACCAGAGGGGGAGTAGAGAGCATCCCACCTCAGATACTGTGTTTGTCAGCTGGGGCCATGTTTTCTCGAGAAGATTGCTGGGACAAGGCCTCTACTTGCTGAAAAAGTGGAATAAATGGGAGACACTGGCACCAGGCTCTTTCTTCAGGGGTGATTTTATAACAAAGTGGTATCTCATGCAACATCCACCTTTCAGCCACAGAAAATTTCAGATGAACCATAACAGCTTGAATCTGGCAGGCCAGAGGGACAACTACCTTCTGGATCAGCTCAGGGCTTAGTCACAGTGTAGGACATTTCCAGGCATGTACAGAAGCAGACTCTGAAAGCCTTCACATGGAAACGCCTACAGCATTTTGCTGGACCTGTGACCAGATCATGTCCAAGTTAGTGTTTTTATTGTTGTGTTTTGGTCTTGGGCATCTAGCGGGCATCTAGCATGTACAAAATCTCTGTTCAAGCACCTCAATATTGGTAACTGAGTTGGTACATTGAAAGTCCCATCTCACAGCTAGTTACCTGTTGTATTACTGCTTTTAGGAAGTTCTCTGCCCAGCCAACATGTCAGTGAGAGCAGAAGTCCCTCTGTCCTTTGCTAGCCATTGAGGAGGCCGAGGACATTCTTCCATGACACCCACAATTAGGCAACTCTGACGGTGTAATGCAAATGGACAATTTATTTATGTGCATTTTTGCATATATGAATACAGACGTAACGCATGATAACAATTATTAACTTTGCTACTTCATCTAAGCAAACAAAGCCACCTTTTTCTATGTACTTAAGATTTGCTCTTTCATTTACTTAATGGTTTTTTAATTGCATCATTTCCTATTTTTAGCATCTAAACCTTACCTTCATCGGTAGATGGCTTCACTCAATCCCTGCTTTATTCTCATATATATATTAAAGTGTAAATTAAGCTCATCTGTATTTCTGATTTCTAATAACAATGTAAACACTGACCATATTTCATCTGACTTCCAAAGCTACTTCAGCTAGGCTAATTACCTTTTAAGACCAGTTTCTCTGACTCCTAAACAGAACTGCCCCTCCTTGCGAAAACACGCTGTTCCTCACAGTGTCAAAAACTCAGTCACTAAGCAGCAAGTCTTAGGCACCCATTTTGATCTGGGTGTTTTGGTTTGTTGTTTTTGTTTTTAAAGAAGCAATATCAACATACAGAGTTGGTGGTTAGGGATCGTAACTTCATCCTCCTGTGTTTGAGAAGCTGGTTATTGGAAGTCAGGCCTTTTGAGCATGGTGACACTAAGGCAAAGAGGACTTAATACAGGACCTCCACGTATAGGCCGATCTGACTACCAAGCACACCATAAGCGTTGCCATGGTTAGAGGTTTTTGCAAATGGTCATTGGAAGATGCACGAGTTACAATACAACAGCTCTTGAAAGAGGTGAGGGGAAAAAAAAGCTAATGGCAATCTTTTATTACCTTACATGAATCAAACGAACAAACTATTTGGGTGCCATTTTTCAGAATTTGCTGTATACAAAGCCATTATTTGACTTAAAATTCTTCTTAGCTGCTGCACAATTTTCTGTAGTCAGAATTTCAACAGGAAGCCACTACCAATATATTTAATAATGAAACAAACTTAAAATATTTCTTTTCTTTTATTTTTCAGGGGATATTCATTCTAAGAAATGTCGTCTTTTTTTTTTCCCCTAGCACAATCTTCCCATTAAAGGCAGCAATTTCTTATAATTCTTACTTTGAGAAAATAAAAAAAATGCTTTAATAGCATGCTGTAAAGTCTCTGTAAAGCTGAAAGAGACACTGCAAAAGGACCTATAGCACACCAACTGCTATTTTCTCTAGTCTTTTAAAATTAAGTGCAGAATATGCATGTTATTGTAGACAGCTAAATACCCAACATTTCGCATTCTCACTAATGATTTGAGTCCTACTCTAGACCCAGTGAGTAATTAATGCCTTGGACGATGCCTATAACAACTGGTTGCCAAACCACCAGATAGCAGAACCAGTCCAAAAGTTGTCCGTACAATGCGTGTGCATTCCCACCTGATCTGTTGCTAAGGAAACTGGAGAGAAAATGCAACACTAGGTAAGTCATAGTATTTTTCTTAGCCAGAATCAAAGAAAAAGTATTGGGTTAAAATTTTGAAATGCCTTCTTTTCAACTCTTCTAATTTTTTTAGGGGTAAGGTGAAAATTAAATATCCTCCCCACATATGGTTAAAATAGGTTTCAAAAAAGTAAGCCAGACTTCACTTCCACTCAAGCAGGTCTCTACAGATGCAGCAGCAGATCTTCCACTATTATTTCATTTGCTAAAGGAAAAATGTTGTTTACTAACTATTAAGAGAAAAGGGAAAAAACAGCACTTGTTCTGAAAGTGGATTATATAAATTTTGTTATTTCATTAAAGAGCAAAATCCACTGCGTGGTCTTTCTCAAACTGCGATTTACATTCTTTAAAATGTTCCTCTCATTATAAAAATGATTTCCGAATGTCTTAAAATCAAGAATGAAAATACACATGCACTTTTCTTTTCCTAGCTTGTTTGGGGTCTTAGATAAGATAAAGCCAGACAGAACTATCATCTTCCCTAAATATAATTGTTCCTTAATAATAATTGGTTTTCCATTTATGTAATGTGGCCACCTCATCCCTCCACTGCAGATCAAAACAAGAATTAGTAAGTAATCAGACCGCGGTTTAGAAAATCCAAATCAAAAGCACACTTCTTAGGGAGAGGGTATGGGTTACTTCACATCCTCTTCAAATCAACTTTCTCAGGGCAGTATGGGCAAGTCTGGTTCTTGCCAACAGTGCACCAACCACGGATGTGGGATCCGTGAAACCTGGTACCAGGTGTATTGGTCAGGAATCTTTCAAATATAAACAAGGCCCAGCGTGTACATTTGCAAACCTAGTCAAACCATCAACAGATAATAGTAATGACTGATTATGGATGCTGCCTTGTTTTATAACTGAGCAGTTTCAAATGACTTAAAATATTTAGAATATTTAGAATTATTTTAAAGTTGAATCCAATGCCCTGAACATCCAGCCTGGTATTCATATTTTCCAGCTTGAAAGAAGCCATGATACTTTTATGAACTGCAGAAGGGGCTGATTAGTAAGATTGTTCCAGCATGTATGAGATAGATACCTTTCCGTTTAATTTCTGGAATGTAAAATGCTGAGTTGTTTGGTACCCTCGAGTATGAGACACTGGGTCTTCTGTCAGGCTGTAGAGTACGTATGCACCATTGTCTGAAAAGGCTTCCACATCTGCCTTAAAACTACCCCACAAACACAGCCCCAGACACAGCCAGAGGAAATCCTCTGCAGCACACGGGAGCCTGAATTAGCAGACGTGACCAAGGGGTCAGCATGCCTGGGCTAACGTACTGCCGGGCACACCCCCACAAGGCTGTGCACCAAGTACCTGAAAGGCAGATTTAGGCCTGAAACTGTAGGATTATGCCCACTCTTGCATCAGTTTGTCTGCCAAGGAGCTGCGTGGCCTCAACTTGTGTCACAGAACTGAAATATATTTCATGCTCCTATTTTTACTTTTGTGCTATGTCGTTTCTGAATGTGGTTTTGGTTCCTTTTTTTTCTTGGTATTTACTGCCGCTGTTATTATTTTTTAATGCAGCATAAAAGAGGAGAAAACAACTGTTCCATAATTACATGGAAAGGATACACATGATTACAGGACAGCTGGTAGGTATTTTCAATGATCCCTTCTTCATTTATATCCACAAAAATTTTCTGCCCGCAGATTGCTCAGATGTCACTGGACAAATTTCTTGTTGGCATGCCACTGATGATGCAAAACTGTCAAGATCAAGTTTACAGGAAAAAAGAAGCTAAAGAACAACAAAATATTTGCTTAGAGTCAAGGATGCATAAACACATTTTAAGTGCCATCAAAGATAAGGACAGCATGAAAATGTCTACAGTTTTCTTAGTTTAGTAGTGCCAAGTTACCAAGAAATAATTAAAACCTTATTGCTGATGCAAGAGCGTTAGCAACCGTCTGCTTGATTTCAAGGAACTGGGTCATAGAGAATTGTGCTGAGATAATCGCTTATTTGGAAGGGGAAAGTAAGAGCTATAAACAGGAAAAGGCAAGAAGAGTCTTTCACAGACTTTGGGGAAGTAAGAAGCTTGTCTTCCTATGGCAATTAGGAAAATTATGTAGTGTTTTGTATGTAGGGACCAGCCTGTTGGAAACCCCAAATCAGGCCCTGGCATGTCACTGGCTACTATTTCATTAAGACGATTCTTCTAATCATGAGGCTGACAAGGGAGTTCAACAGTTTGTCAGTGCACAAGAACAGCTCTCCTCAAAGAAAAGTGAGGTTGGTTTGCTGCAAAAGGATCCAGTAGACCTTATTCTCATGAACCCAGGGGCACAAGAGATTCAAGAGCTCACTTCCACTCCTCACAAGTGGTATTCAGGATGATGATCCCCAGCACTTACACCAGTGGTGGAAGCCATGTAGTCAGAACAAATCTCTGCAGAGTCTCTTCCCATCAGTCCATAGTACAGTCCGTAAAAAAGCAGTGTCACAGCAAAATGCATGGAGTCATCAGACTTGATTCTGTCATTAAACCAAAAAAGAGTACTCAGGTGAGTCTGTTCTTGACAAAAGCACCAGAATAAAATATCAACAAGATTTTTACTCAGGTTAGCTCCTGCTTCATTCAAACTGCAGGTTTAGTTTCATTTTCTTTTGCAGCAGCAGACACCCTCATACTTGAGTATCAATATGCTTGACGGCTAGCAATGTTGAAAGTAGGCTATGAACTGCTTTGGGGGCCACAGCTAATCAGCTCTGTTATGGGAAGGCCAAGCTGACACATTTTCTTATAGAAAGGGAATTTGGTAGAGCCTTACAGAACAATTAGATATATTTTGTTGTTTTGCAGAAGCAACAAGATCAGCCAAATCTCAGTAAGGTGTAAGATGCTGATCAAAGAAATGTTAAGTTTCTGTAGCTGAAAGAGCCCACTGTCCTCCTGAATAAAAATTCCTTGGAATAAAATCTTTGCTAAATTGCAGCAAGCAGTATTTAACCCCCTACCCCCAAAAAACCCCAACTCAGTGGAGTCTGCAAAAATGTTAACAACTCTTATCATCTCTCTGAGACTGTATGTGTTACAGGTCTTGGGAGACTGAAACCTGGCTACTAAATATTCATAAAACTGGAGCTTCTCAACATTAAAGAGGACTTGTCACTTCTGCTGCAACAGGGCACAAAGGAAGAACCTTTAAAATAGAGCTAAGAAATTTTGTAGTTATAACTTTAAAATACACAAAATTTATATTTTTAAATGGGGGAATTTATCTGGTTAATAAAATACCTCAACAGAATAAAGCTTAACAGTATTGGTAACACAAGACTGTTAAGTTTCTGCCAAGAATTTTCCATCGGAGCTATGTACTTTTGGGTTAATCAACTACACAATGTATGGGCAACAAATCTGACACTTAAAGGAACAGCTGATTTATGTATGTCCAGTATCTCCAGTACCTCCAAGAAGTGTTGGACTTACAGCAGATGCATTATGTCGTTGATCTACACACTCTTGAGGAATCCCTGGAATTTCTGATCAGACGGCACCGCAAACAGAGTCCAGCACAGTAGCTCTGGCTGGGCTGCTAGTCAGACAGAAATCCGGGATGAACATAAAGAAAATTCAAACTCTACCCAGGCAAAAATTCTAGCTGGATTAATAGGTTAGGTTGAGAATCATCTGGATATACAGTATTGTATTTGGCAACAGCCAAAATAAAGAGAAACCCCTATCAATATTATAGACTGGTAAAGTAGGAACTCATAATTATCAGAAAGAATTATAATGTGGTTTTGATATGAATGTGCTTATCTATTTTTATCCTTTACATCAAGCCTTTTTATGTCTCATCTCCTTCAAGTACGTAAATGAAGGACTGCGGATTAACTCAGCAGTTAAATTAGGGGATTAAATGAGTGAACACAGTAGCTGTATGAAGTTTAAGGTTTTTCCCCTCTTCACACCACAAACAAAAGTTGTAAAATGACTAAACATCAACCTTCAGACCAAATATGCAATAATAAAAATCAAGAAGTAAGAGAACCTACAGCTACACAACATAAAAGGGGTTTCATAAATTAAGGTGGGTGGTGAAGAGACCAGCCTGGAGCAATTTCACTACAGACAAAGTAAAGTCTATCAAATAGGAAATCATAACAGTTGCCAATCCCAATTTTATGTGAAGAAACCTATCTAAATAATAAATTAAATCCAAACATGGTAAACATTATGGCTAGATAACCCAGAATTCCAATTGCATAATTCAGTTTATAGATTAGGACCATCAGTAGACCAACCTATGGATAACAGAAAAGAAAGACTGCTCAAGACCTTGTGTATTTTGCAGAGTGGCACAAAATGCCACATATGCAGCTTCTACTGAAGTAGTCATATAAATTCAATAGAAGTTTTACACTTCTATATTTCTCCCTTACTTAAAGGTGAATAAAAATATATAATATGGGAAAAAGTACAGGAAAAAAAAAAAAGGAAACCTTTTTTATTTGCTTCACTCTTCACAAGAAATGGTAATTGTGAACAGATTGCTAACATAATTAAAACAGTTGTGAATTGTGAAGGAGTGAGACATAGGCTCAAACAGGACAAGGACAGGTAAAAAACAACTGAGGTAAGTTAGGTATAGTCAAGTAAGTATACCACCAATGAAATTTATCGAAAATACTTGGAAGTTAGCAGAAGCAATCTCTAAACCTTTCATAATTGTCTTTGCGAGCCCAGGGTGGAGAGGCAGAGTTTCAGAGGGCTGGAGAAGGAATACTACAGACCTCTCTCTAGGGAGGCAGAGGGGGCTCTAATGAATAAATTCAGACTATTTGGTATATATACACCCAACTGAGTTTTGCAGGCTCAGTAATGCCTGGGATAACTGCTGACGGTAAGAGTCTGCAGGATGGTAAACCAAGATGGAACTGATGGAATGAATTTAACTCATTTAATTCTTTTTCATTTGCATGTCATGCATGATAAACGCTGGTTTAGAGGAACTTATTCATACTGCAGTTGGAAGATTCCTTCAAATGCAACTGCTGATGGCCCTTTTTGTAATCTGTGAAGACTTGTTCCAGGGAAATTCTTATTTGATCTCCTCCTTTCACAGGTTTCCTTTAAGAAACAATATCAAAATCCCCCCAAACAAGGCAAAAACAACAAAAAAGGACATCTTCTTCCCAAGAGAGGATTGCAGGCTGCTCTGAAAGTGATGTAACTGGTAGCAAATGAGAGCATTCCCCACAGGGACAGAGATCTCCACCAGTAAACTCAGACGGTGAGACAAAGAGGAACAACCCACATCTGCAGCAGTGTGACTAACTGTTGGCAAAATTGAGACAGTCATTTAAAAGTAATGACATGCTGCGGTTCCATTTTGCATGGTTAGGTTTGATTAACGGGTTGCCCAACTGTAAAACTCACACAAAAAAATGTGACTTGTACAGCATCTGAGACAGGAGGTCCTTTGGCCCTAGAATAAAGATGTTACTCTGCCTCGCACCCTGTAAATAACTGGTAATCCCAGTGTAGTAAATGGTGATATATCACTAAGATACAACTCCTCAGACCCCCACATCCTATCCTCAACAAACTAAACTGCCTATTGATAGAATTAATGCTACTGAAAAAAACAGTTTGTTTTCTAACCCAAACTATATATGGAGACCGCAGGGCTAAAGCTTTGGGAGCAAGTTTTCTGAAATCGGTGGAGGCAGTTTGGCCTTTAAGACCTAAAGCTACTCTTACAAGCTTTCAGAAAGGCAGATTTGGCTGCGTTAATTTGGGGTACCGCTCAGTTACATAACCACACTACTGAAGGTTTCTCTTAAAAACTCTTCCTACAGCACAACAAAATGCTGTGGCTTAAAATTTTAAACCTTTTCTCTAAATGAAATTATATCAAACTTAATATGTATATTTGCTTGAATTGCCCACAGTGATGAAATATTCTACTTCTTTTCCAATAAGCAAATATTTGAAACCCACTGACGAGTCAAAAGCCCTGTGATGCCAGTTCTCTCCGTGATCACATTAATAAACCATGGATTTCAATTGTGGAAGTCTGAAGACAAAGATAAAGCAAGACTGACTTTAATATGTCTTCGTAGAGTTAGCTCCTGTATCTTTACAGAAAGTTTACTAAAAATAAAAAAAAAATCTGAGGGGAGATGTTTTTCAAATTTATGTTTGGTTTGAGGCAGGGGGATTTTTTAAAAGCAAACAAAAAGCACAATCCATCTAGACTAAAAAGCTATTTCTATGGAAGATTAATCTCCTTCCTTAACCCAAAAAGTAGAATTTGAAGGAATGTGTGTTACTCCCAGTTTTGACACAGATTTCAACTGAAGCAGATCTGGATTATTCTTCTTCTCCTAAAAAAAAGGAGAAACTCTTAAAAAAATATTCCCCCGAGCAAGCATGCAACTATTGAGCAAAATGGTATTTCACAATATAAGTTTAAATAAATTAACAGACAGAAACACCTGTAAAAGGCAACGGCGCAGCATCATTAGATCACATCACTGTTACGCATTTCTCCGCCCTGCAGCCCTGGGCTTGTGACCATAAAAGCGGCAGAGCTCCTTCCACGCCATGCAGCCCTGCTGGCATAGCACAGGTCAGTGGTCCCTACACACCCCTGATCGCGGAGCCTGAGGTCTCTTGGCCTTCACTAGAGGCCACCAAAGGCTCCCATCCCAGTTGCCTTCCTGCCTGCCTTGCTACTGTCCAATGCGATCCCCCTCCAATGTGCTTACGTACTGTGGGTTGCTTATTTTTTTTCAGTAGACTGAAAGTAAAGTCTGAACTTAAGTGGCAAAGCCAGAACTGAACGGGCACACATCCTCAGTAAAGTAGCTAGTTTCTAATACAAATCTACAACAGAACTTTGTTATCAAGTTAGCTGCAAAATGAAATGCTAATTAATTAAAAAATGGTATCACAACCTTCTCTTGAGTGATGCTGTTATCACATCAGTTGGTATATACTGTTTGCAGTAATTGTTTCAAATTTCCTTATTGATTTTTATGTCTTCCAGATTGTTAATTTTAATACTATTAACCTCTATATGAAATGCATGAGTATGTTAGCATGTAAATGAGGACAAAGATAAGAATCGAGTCACACAGATGAAAACCCCAGTATTGATTTACTATTAATACTGGAAGGTCACCATCTGGACAATTCCATAAAATAATACATCTGCATTATTGCTAAATGGGAGCTTTAACATCTGGATCATATTATTCCAAATTTTCCTCATCCACCCATCATAGCAAGAGGAATTTCCTGACAAATCAGATTGCTGCCCAAAGGTAAAATGTTTTTCTCATTACCGTACTTTAAATGAGCTCAAAAAGACCTAGAACTGAAGTCAGCATCAGTGTCATAGACAACTGTCCCATCTTCTAATTATGCAGATTAAATAGGTCATACAAGCACCAACCGAAACATGTCCATCTGCCCTCTGCTTCCCTCACAGTGTTCCCCCCGCTTGGAGCGAGCAAGAATGCCCATCACCAGCAAATTCAACAGAAGAACATTATTCCACTATCCTTTCCATCTTATAGCATATGGTGAAAACTGCATACATAAAGAAAATAACTGTGTAATAATTAGATTTATTGTGACAGACTGACCTTACCAGAACTTGTTAACTTGGCAATGCAAGCTAACTGGCTCTCTAAAAATCTAGTTTCTTTTGATGTAGACATATTCAAATACTCAAAAACATATGCATGGAAGAAATAATAAATTGGCTGTTTGGGGTTTTTTAAGGTTTAAATTAATATGCTTATACTCAATAGTACATTGGAAATTGGCAAGGATTTCTATATTAAGTAAATCAACCAACCTTATTTTCAAGATTTGCCTCATTACTTAGGTATAGAAATCAATGCTGTCATAACCCTGCTGCTTCATTTTTCAACTGTATTCCAAAGTAAGTTCTCATTACATGACTGCCACATGATACAAGATATACAATCAGTAAAATGGGCAACCACCTACGGGACCAGAAGTAAGGCTTTTGTGTTTGATGCTGTTCTGAGACCATGACAAATCTGCTTTTCTATCTATCTCAGATATTTTAAGATTTCTGTTATGCCACAGGAGAACAACTTTGTCCACATATATTACATTCATTTAATTGTCATCAATGGACAGCTTCCAATGGCAAGCAAATTGCATTGTAAGAATCAGCTGAGTACCCAATAGAATTTTCTTTGGGAAAACACAGTGTCAGAACATTAATAAGCTTTTTCCCTCCTTCCCCATTTGATATGCAAGACTCCTGCCTTTATGTTGAGGAAAATGGGTAGGATAGGCTAGGACAGGCTAGGAATGGTTTTTCAAGGATGGTAATTCTCTGATTAGCATTCCTCATTGCCGCCCCACATCCCAGAGCACACAATACAGTTGCAGGCACACAATTGCCTGCACATCACTGAGTTAGAGGAGTGCAAAATTTGTGAGTGAAATGGAGAAATGAGGGCATTATCTGAACAAAGATGCAAACTTAGTGAAAATCAGGTTTTTACAATGTGAATTAGCAGAACTACAGGCTCCATATTTATTTTTGAAAATCTAAAATAACAATAAAAAAATTCTCTAAAGTAACTCAGAAATTATCTTTTTCTCTAATCTGCCTCCTCATCATTTGGAATTTAACCCCAAACAGTCAGCTACCACCTAGAATTAAATACACAACTGTCAGAGTGGCCTACATTTTATTTCAGGCCAAGGCTTACTAGAAAAACCTCTTCCTTTCTTCCCCCCCTCCCAGGCTAGGATCACACCCGTGTTACTTTATATGTAGCCATCTGGTGAAGGGCAATCTCCTCCTTCTTGCCAAAATTATCCACAGCTGAGCCTTAGTCGCTTTGCTGCAACTTTTTTGCTCTTGCCCCTTTGAAATAGGAGCCTTCCCCAGCATGCCTTTTTTTTTTTCAGGAGGCATTTTACATTCCCGATAAGCCTGGATAAGGCTCTTTTGGAAGGTACAGGCTGTTGCTGTTTCTCTTGCATCTAGTAAGTAGTCGCTGCTTTTTATTTTTTGTTCTTTTTGAGCAAGCTAATGAATGCCCTTTCCATTTAGGGCTGATTTTATGCTCCCTTTGACCTTCATTTCCTTTTTCTTTCAAAAAGAAACCAAACTTTTCTTTTTTACATGGTCGCAAAGCACTTTGAAGGGGAGGGTGGAAGTCAATCACTGCAATCCTTTGCTTTATTTCTACTAACAGGACTGTGCAATTCTTTCTGAGCTCTTACTACGACTCCCACCGTGACCTCAAAGAATCAAACAGAAAGATTTGTCAGCTGATGCTGCCTTCCAACTCATGATATGCAATGGAGGGCTGGCTGCTGGTTTCGTTGATCTCTTGGGACAGAAAATAGAAAAGAAAGCAGTTTTTGGTCAGAGAAAAGGAGCCTTAGGTTTACCGCTCTCACTGAAAATAACGCGTTCTACCTCTTTGTCTGATTTCTCTTCTCCTTTGCTCCTAAAGATGCAACCATGTTGTTCCAGGCAGTGGAAAGTGTTTGGTTTCTTCTCTTCAGTATTAGAACTGTTGTGCATAACCTGTGTGCGAACTATACAGGCATAAACCAAGCGGCCAAAAGCTGGATGGCAACTAAGAGAAATGCATAAGCAAGCAAAAGTAGAGGGCTGTTTTCTCTTTAGTGAGCATGTGGTTGATTTTCAAATTTTGACTTATTTAAATGTTTCCTACCAAATCAAACAAAAAGGATATGCACATGAACGCAAGCATAATAACTGCCACCTGGAAGAGCTGTAATGCAGAAGTCTAGACCTGTCTGTGCTTAGGGGAGCAGTAGGGTTTTTTGTTGTTGTTTACTTTTATGTCAAATGGACAATTTCCTTTATGCATTAACTAAGTTGTTTAAATCCTAAATGCAACCATCTTTACAGTTTCTGCTCCTAAATCAGAGGTTTCCTTATCTGATGCAACAAAGCATGCTAGTTATTTTTCATCTATCTTGTGTAAGGATCTCATTAATTGTTCACCTTTGTATCTTAATGTCTGTCCTATTTGTTAGTCTTCAAAGCACAGTGGATCAGATTTTGGCAGTTACTATACTGGTAGAAATTTGCAACTTTAACATTACTGCATGACATACTTTTAAAGAAAGCAAGCTAATGCAATGAGATCCACAGTGTGTTTGAAAAACTATGCAAAAGTATCTGGATATGAAACACAAGGGCAGTTATAACTTAATACACAAACTTGTAAGTAATTTTGGTGACAACCACTCTTAAGTTACCTAACATGGAATAAATGCAATAAACTACTGCAAAAAAAATACCACTGCAAAAATCTACTGGCAGAGACCCACCATGAGTAGTGTTTGCTATTATAAACTAAATTCATACATAGATAGATGGTAGGTGTGAGAATATATTACTCTCCCAACTAAACAGAGCGTGAAGCAGAACTGCCAAAACTCAGTACAAAGTGAACTTCAGCTACTGCTGCTACTGTTTTTACTGAACGAGTCCCTGCTTCAGTTCCTCTTTTACTGGAGAAGGAGGCCTTGCTGCTGCCACACAGCTCTGCACTGAAAACCGAGGCCCTGGCATGTTTCTGGCACAGATGTTTTGTTTATTTTAAAATGCACTGCAAAAATACAAAGGCCATCACAAAGTCTTATTAAAGGGTTGTGATGGTTGTAGTTGTACTGGAGCCTCCCTAAATTAGACTAAATGCATTTAAAAGTATATTCTTTCCATATTGGCTGTGTCACTTTGTAGGTGTGACTGGCTCCTGTAAACTAATAGTTGGGAACGAAGCTTCGATTGCTGAAGACTAAGTTACACAAGTAATAGGACTGTAACAAGTGTAGGCTACTGGTATTTTTGACAGAGGTTAAGTCTATGTAGTACACAGTAACTGACTTTAAATACTGCTAAGGAGGATAATGCCAAAGCAACACAGAGTGCATGCTGCTTAGGCTCCCATAGGCTTTCCCAGGCAGAGAGGGACCTTCCCAGCTGCTCATCACTGTATGTATACTTGAAGTTCAGGTGTGTTTCAGCACTGATTCGATACCAGTCTCATGCAAAATATTTTCAATGGAAAACAAAGACATGGACAGGCTGAGTGACTTCAGTCACTTCAGGGTTGTGTTCTTTATTCTAAATGTCTATTGAAAACAGTAAGGCAAAAATCGATGGGAAAGAAAAAGCTCTGAACTGAGATGCTAACATGAACGTGAAGTAATTGAATCATACAGCAGAACTGGTCTAGAAGAGAAGTAAAGAGAACATAACGTTAAAGTATATCATATATGATTACATATGATGTGCTCAGGTAATGTGTGCACTCAGGGTTAGGAGTGTGTGTTTGTAAAGGCAGAGAGTTAGGGAGGTGAACCGGAAGTCCTCAGTGAGCTGCGCTACCTGTGACGTCATTAGACAATTCACCTCTATATGTGTTGCTATGACAAATATTTCTTCACTGTTCCCAACCCTGTAAAGTACAGCTGAAGAGCCTGTTTCACAACCTCTGTATTGCAATTTATGCCCCTGTGAAACTCCGCTAACAGTAAAGCTGTCATAGGTCAGGCTGGTTTTATATCTTGCACTAAAACAGTTTCTGTAAATTGTACCAAGGTTTCATTCTTCAGTGTCTAACAGACCGGTCAAGTCAGGGGGTGTGATGCTTCAGTGTCTGAGGAGCAATTGCCAAGAGATGAAGTATTGATCATGACTGTTACTGAGGTCACTGCTATTAAGAAGTTCAGTTATCAAAAACCGGATTTCAATCTACAGATGGCTTAGGGCACTCATCAGCTGATGAAGATGGAAAAGCTAAGAAGCTTCTTGTATGCTTAAAATTCTGCCTGTCTGAAATATCTGTGTCATCCCCATTATTTGTTTAACATTTACTTACATCTCACTTTTTAAGGACTGGCCCTTCCTGAGATGCTGAACTTTTTTTTTTTTTTTAAACTCTTGAATAGGGAGATCAGGGGTGGAAATCATGTCACTTCAGTTTTCTTAGGTTTGCAGAGAGGTCTGTGGCAGGGGAAAGTGAGCTGAAGCACTGTAAGCCCCAGATTTAGCACCTTAACCACAAGACAAGCTTTCTCTCTAAAGAGGCATGTGCATGAGTAACTTGATGAATAGGGGCCTTGGATTCTCTCAATAAACCCTCTGTAGCGTTACTTCAGCTAGACAAGGGTAGTGACTTTTCTCTCCTACCTGGTCCATTGTTAGATGGTTGTTTGAAAACTCAAAGCCTTTTCCTTAGAAGCTTTAGCCTCCTAAAGACTGACCACAGCATCAGTATGCAGACACAGAAAATAAAAGACAATTTGTTTTTTCTCCCTACATAAAAGCTACTTTCCACCTGACTGAAAGCTATGGCTTGCTGCTTTCCACAGAGGCTCAGCCATCTTGCTAGGTGTAAACCCTTAAGAGTATGTCATGAGTCCCTGCTGTTACCTGTAAAAGATGATGTCTTAACCACTCCAAACCTGCTGTCTTTCTGACAAGCTATTCGCACTGTGTGTCTTTGCTTCCACTGAACAAGCACAATCTGGGCAATAACCAACGTTGCAAGTAGAACAAGAACCACCTCCATACGCGTTGGTTCACAGCCATGGTGCTTTGCATGCTCTTCTGATGTGGCAACCTGAAAAGAAAATATGTGTGCTATTTTTAAAAAGAAAAAAAAAAAGTCTAGATTGATTTGTTATACCTAGAGGTAACAGCAAACCTATGTGTGAGAGATACATTATGAGGAAACAGGTTATTGCTGTTATGCATAAAGATACAAGGTAACAAAATAATGAGAATACTTGGTCTTTGTAACTGGAACTATTGTCCTGAAAAAGGAAACGTAAAGTAACAGGCAGAGAGTTGTCTCCTTTTCTTTTCTTTTCTGAACATAAACATAGCCACAAATACATAGTGCCTATGAATTTTAACAGACATTTCATAATTGCAGATCTGAGCCCTGCATAATTATTTAGGTCAAGGTAAATGCAAATTCAGAAGAGGGCTTAAACCCCATTTCAGCTCCCCTCCCTGTAAAGTGAGAATTGTATCTGATATTTATCTTCCTTCTAGAGTTAATGAAAATTTCCTTGAGCCCCTAAGAAAGGAGGGGATTGTCTTGGAGCTACAAATCAGCCTCCTTCATAACTAAAGCTGAGTCAGCTTCTATGTTAGATCAGAGCCTCAGGCCCCTGCGGTAAGAATCTTGATCTTCATCTGAGCTTGACTCAAATTAACCTGGATGTTAGTTTTCCTCTGACCTGGAGCTTTCTGGGGCTACGTTTCAGGACTCAACAGCACCTCCTGGCTTCTAGATCTGTGTATGCGCTGAGTGCACCCCAACTGCACCCTGAAACGAAGCTAAAGAGATGGACATGCACTGTTGCCCTTCCCCTTCCATGCTCTGGTCCCCGTGGGGAGAAACCCCGTGTCCATGGGCTGGAAGGGAGCTGCTGCATGTTCTGGTTGATGCCTGCCCTGGATGACTCTCGGACTGAGACCGTGTGTCACGGTGGCTGATGAGCAGCAGTTACTCTGTTCAGACACAGCCAGTGTTAGACCAGTGGGATCCAGATTTAAGCAAGGAACTACGCAGAAGCCCGACGCCATTCTTTGCTGCTATCCCATGTTAGCCAAGCTTTGAATCCAATTAAAACTTTTGACTTTGCAGAAATCTGGATATAGGTTTAAAACATGTGGTTCTTTCTCACCCCTCCTTCAGAAGGAAAAGTGCAACAGCAGCCACACTTTTTGCCAGTCAAAAAGAAATGACAACATGATGGAAGACACAGCACCGAAGCGGGTACAGAGACCAGCGTCAAACGGCTTTCTTCCCAGCTTTATGCAGGCACCGTAGGGTACCACAACTTCTTTGCTGACAGCGTGCTTGTGTTGAGTCTCCCGAAGCGGCTCATGGGTGTGGGTGCACCCGGTGTCCCCCAGGCTGCAAACACAGGTGCCCCCTTACGGGCAGCGCACCGGCACTGGGCACGCTGGTAGAGCAGGCCGGTAGCTGGAGAGAGCGTAATTAATGTGTGTCCCAAGAAAAGGGAAGGTGGCAACAGGGAGATAAAAAGCTTTTCCTCTTCACCCCCCACCCACCCCCCCCACCCCACACATCAACAAACAAC